TCAAAGCTATTTATTAGAACTGTCAAATATTCTAGTTGTTCAGGGAAAAAATAGATTGATGGGCGATTATCATAGGGTGAGCATGTAATAAAATGTTTTATTATCACGTATTCCTTGATTATACAGACAATAAAATACTAATGCATTTGCCTGCATTGATATTCTTCATAGTAATAGACACTAGATAACACTTACATTTTGTCACTGCAGGGTAGATTATGGGAAACTCAAAACTACTCCTGCTGTCAAATGTTACATTGTGATTAACAATATACAGTCTCAGGAGTAGATTTATAATTCAGAGATAAGTAGATGAACTAAGAGATGAGATTTTCTCAGCCAACATTTTTTGGTAAAAATGTAAGCATAGTAAATCATTTATGATATAGATTGTTCTGTGACCTGTCAGTTGTTGCATAAACTGCAACAATAATTCAGCTCCTATTGAAAAATAAAATGTTTATCAATTCATGGCATTTACTTGTTGTGTGCTGCCAAGGTAGCAGGAGCAGTGGTGCCATCTGCACAAGGCAGGAACGAGATAAGGAAGCTTGTCTTTCAACTGTGTCTGAATTAAGCCAGTTCCTTGCACATGCCTGGAATACATATTTAATGGGTCACTATAGTAACAAAAAAAACTTTAGCTTAATGAAGCAGTTTTGGTGTATAGATCATGCCTCTGAAGTTTCACTCCCCGATTCTCTGCCATTTAGGAGTTAAATCACTTCTATTTCTGTTTATGAAGCCCTAGCCACACCTTCACTGAATGTGACTGACACAGCCTGCATGAAAATAAAAAGGATTCATTTTCAATCAGATGTAACTTACATTAAAAATTTGTATCTCCTGCGCTGTAAACGGAACTTTAATACTTTAATTACATACAGGAGACTTCTGATGGGTCTAACATGCTAATAAAAGAGAAGGAGATAAGACATTATAAATTAAAGAGAATTTGCAATAAAGGAAGTGTAAATATTAGATAACTCTTTACAGGAAGTGTTCAGGAAAGCAATGTAAGTCACATACAGGGAGGTGTGACTAGGACTGTGTAAACAAAGTGACTCAACTCCTAAGTGGCAGAGAATTGAAGCTGCAGGGTCATAATATATATATATATATATATATATATATATATATATATATATATATATATATATGCCCTTAATGGAAGCGAAAAGGACTTGGGAATTGTTATAGACAACAAACTATGCAACAATGTGCAATGTCAATCAGCAGTGGCTAAGGCCAGTAAGGTATCGTCATGCATGAAAAAGGGCATTCATTCTCGGGATGAGAATATAATTTTGCCTCTTTATAAATCACTGGTAAGACCACATATTGAATATGCTCTGCAATTTTGGGCACCTGTTCTAAAGAAGGATATTATGGCACTAGAAAAAGTGCAGAGGCGGACTACAAAAATAATAAAATGAATGGAACATATCAGCTATGAAGAAAGGTTAACAAATTTAAACCTATTTAGTTTAGAGAAACGTTGCCTGAGAGGGGATATGATAACATTATACAAATATATTCGGGGCCAATACAAACCATTGTGTTGAAATCTATTCACAAACCAGACTTTACATAGGACACGAGGTCATGCGTTTAGACTAGAAGAAAGAAGATTTCGTCTAAGGCAAAGAAAAGGGTTTTTTTTACTGTAAGAACAAAATCAAAAATCCATCTAAAGTAAACTAAGGTGGTAGGGAATAACAAAGTTGAATTGTATCTATCATGAGCTTACCTCTAGATTTTAACCCATTAAGTGCAGAGCTAATTTTACAAGTTTTGCTCAAAACAAAACGAAACAAAACTTGGAGTTTGCTCTATATGTTGTTCAACCATAATTCACTTTTTTCATATTAAGTGCACCCACATTTATTATATACCATTTTCTACAGGGTTTTCATTTCATATTAAATAATTATATATGAAACATAACTGAATGTGAATAAAATCTAAAAAAGTATGAGAAATTAAGAAAATGTGTTATTTTTCAAGTTTTGCATGACATTTTAACTGTGAATGTCATAATACTGTTAGATTTTATTGCAATAAATTACACATATTTGTATTCAGCAATGTCTCACGAGTACTACAGTACCCCCATGTACAGGTTTTATGTGTTTTTGGAAACTTATAGGTGTCAAATATGGGGATTTCCCCTTTTCCATTGAAATTTGCCAGATTGGTTTGCTGGGTCTATCTTGCCTTTGACACCGCATGTTAACCCAGGAATGAAAATTAACCCCATCTTGGCAAATCATTTATAAAAGTAGATAACCCAGGGTATTCAACATGGGGCATGTCCAGTCTTTTTTTTAGTAGCTACTTCATTTTTCACAAACAAACTGCCCTTTCACTGATGATATTATCAATATTATACATGTTACTGCTTTAAAACACTCATATTTGTGTAGAGTAATGTCTCATGTGTACAACAGTACCTCCCATGTTCAGGTTCTATGGTGTTTTGGAAAGTTAAAGGGGCAAATATAATATGTTGGCTTTGAGATGGTATGGCAGCCCAGAAATGAAAATGAACCCCACCATGCAGGGGTGGACTGACCAGTAGGGCAGATTGCTACAGCCCCCCCCTACACCCACCTCAGCCCACGCTGCACCAACCTCTGCACCCTCTGCACACACCACAGGTCCCTGTCTCCCACCCCAGCCCCACTCAACCACCTCAGCCCCCCATGTATTTTGTGAATGCAGAGATGTATGCGAATGAAAGGACAGTGCATGTGTGAACGGGGTGTATATAAGTGTCTGTAAAAACAGGAGTGTATGTATGTGTGGGAGGTTAGTGTGTGTGTATGTAGATATGTGTGTGCTACATTTTGTCTCTCTGTGTCTCTAATTGCTGCTCCAACTTGTGTCAGTAATGCAGATTGTGATCCAAGAACATGGAGAGGTAAGGCACATGCATTTTGATGCCTTTCCCCCCTCCTCCATCCACCCTTCCCCCACGTAAAAATGTACCTTTACCTGTATGTCTCTTAACCTCCCTTGTGTGTTTCATATCCCGTCTCTTGAATGTCTTATCTCCTTTTGTGTATTTTATCCACCATTTTTCCCCTGTGTGTGTTTTACACTCCCCTTAGGTGTCACTCATCACCTTTGCATTTCTCTTACTTCCTCCAGCCCATTTCTGTGTCTCTTACTTTCCCCAGCCCCTTTATGTGTCTCTTATTTTCCCTCAGCCACTTTTATGTCTCTTACTTCCCCAGTCCATTTGTGTGTTTCTTTTACTTACCCAGCCCCCTTTTGTGTCTCTTTCACCCTGTGCCCCTTTGTGTGTCTCTTTTTCCCAGCTACTCTGTATGTCTCCCCCAGCACCATGTCTCTTTTTCCCCTTCTGCTCCTTTTGTGTATCTCTCCTCTCCAAGCCCGTTTTGTGTGTCTCTTTCTCCCCTTTCACAGCCCCCTGTGTCTCTTCCCCTCTCCCCTTTGTGTGTCTTTTTCTCAAACCCCACCCTTTTGTGTGTCTCTATATCCCCTTCCCCAGACTGTCTGTCTCTTTGTCCCCCTAGCCTCTCTGTATGTCACTTTCTCCTCCCAGCCCCTTTTGTGTGTTTCTTTCTTCTCCTGCGATCCCTTTTGGTCTTTTCCTCCTCTCCTGTGCTTCCTTACCTCCTTTCTGTAGTGTGGCTGAGCGGACCACAGTAAAGGATCTTCTGTATCCTCTACCCAGTTTGATAGGAAGTTGCTCACTGGTAATTGGGGGTAATCTGAGGTGGATTCCCCCCTTTTGTCTCAAGTAATGACACCTATGGTGCTTGATACACTTACTCTGGTCATGAATAAATTACAATACCGATATCTGACATCTCTGTCACAGTCTTAATATAATCTGCACTGCACCTCTGCTTTATCCCTGTGCCTGAACATTAAGCTTTTCCTGTGATCCTATGACCATTTATGATGGTAAAACTTGAAATTTACATAAAGCTCTAGACCTGAGGTGCCCTTTACATTCTGTGCTCCTCCTGGACAACTCCCTTCTGCTCCCTGCAGTGAGCTGGCTGCCGGGATATGACGTCTTCCCAGCATTGGCATTACTGCATGGTGCGCGAGGGACCTGTGCAGGGAGAGTACAGAGATCCCAGCCCAGCAGCAACCCCTAGCCACCAGGGACAGAGATGAGTATGTCTGTAATTGTGTGTGTGTGTGTGTGTCTAAATGTGTGTGTGGGTCTGTGATTGTGTGTGTATGTGTGTATGTATGATTGCGTGCATAGATTAGTGATTGTATGTATGTGTGGGTCTGTGATTGTGTATGTGTGTGTGTGTGTGTGTACATCTGTGATTGTGTGTATAGATCTGTGATTGTGTGTGTACATATCTGTTATTGTGTGTAAAGGTATGTGTGTGGGGGGTCTGTGATTGTGTGTGTGTGTGTGTGTGTACATCTATGATTAGGAGTTTGTTTGTATGTGACT